TCCAGTTTGAAACATATGAAACACTATGTTCCAGTTTGAGGGGGTGGGGAGAGTGTTGGGGTCACACCTAGTGGTCCGCAAGGGCTACTCCTGGCTCTGTGTTCAGGAGTGAATCTGGTGGTGTTTGGGGACCCATATGCGGTACTGGAGCTCAAATCAGGGCCAGCCACACGCAAGGCAGATGCCTCCAGGACCCCTGGACTATCTTCCCAGCGTCTGATTCCATCTTTATAAAGTACCTCGAGTACCATCAGAGACAGAAAGTCCAGTGGAGGCCATCGGGTCTGTGCCAGGTCTGTGCCGTGGGGAGGCAGGGAGGCAGGGAGGGACGGAGAGGGAGGGTTTGGGGAGCACTCCTGGAGGTGCTCAGGGCCGATCCTGCCTCTGCTCAGGGAGTACTCCAGGCAGTGCTCATAGGACCATATGCGGGGCTGGGGGAAGCCCTCTCCGGCTGCACTCTCTCTCAGCCTCGTTAGGTTTAACGGGGTCAGAATCCTGAGTTGTGTGAGATGAAGACAGAGCCAGGGTGGTGATGTCTGCACGCCGTGAAAGTGTGCTGACCGCCTGGCCTGGACACTCAGATGTACTTCCCTTCGTTGTTGTTGTTTTGCTTTTGTGATGCACAGGGGTTGCTCCTAGCTCATGCGGAATTACCCTGGCAATGCTCGGGAGACCATATGGGATGCTGGGAATCAAACCCGGGTCAGCCGTGTGCAAGGCAAACGCCCTACCCACTGTGCCCCAGATGTGGTTCCCTTTGATGCTCTGTGCATCTACACAAGAAACTGGGGGCACACAGCAGGGAGGGTCACCACGCACCCCCCATACCCCAGGCCACCCAAGGTGCAGCTCTCCGGACCACCAAGTACCAGAGGGCTCGGTGCAAACCTCTGCAGACGCAGGTGCAGCTTCTCTCCGCAGGCTAAAGTGACTGTTAGAAGCACAACAGACCAGGGTGGGTCGGCGGCAGAGTGCAGGTGCGCATGCGTGAGTAAAGGAAACGGGAGTGGGACCCCCAGAGAGGGAAGGGGTTTAGGACGAGGCAGGGCTTGAAGACAGTCTTCACCTCCTGCCCAGTGGATCTGCGGATCATTGAAGATTTTGCCAACACCCAGGCACTGGCAGAGTCACTGGGTAATCAGACTCAAAGGACAGTTTGCAGAACCAGGGCGGGGAGGGCACTTGCCTTGCACACAGCTGACCCGGGTTTGAGCCCCGGCACCCCCAAAACTCCACCGAAAGACCCCTGAGCACAGCCTGGAGTAGCACCACTGAGTGTGGCCCCCCCAAACGAAACAGTCCTTAAACCTCGGTGGCATGGGGCAGGAATCCTCACGGACTAACAACACGGTGTGCCCAGAGACCTGGTCACTGCCTGTCATCAGGGCGCTGGTGGCCGGCAGGCAGCCTACGGGGCATGAATCACGTCCCGGCTGGGGAGTCCATGCACCTGACAGCCTGCAGTGACTCGTGCCTCAGGGCAGACCCGGGGAACAGGTGCTAAGGCGCGGTCGGACCCGACAACCACCCCCCCCCCCCCCACTGCGACGCTGACACTGCATTTTTGGGGGAGGTCAGGCCAGGTTCTGGGGCTAGGGGGAGGCTGAGCCTCCACCCTCCAGACCGATGGACCCTCAGCTGGCGCGGCCGCACGGCACGTGGGTCAAATACTCAGCCTCGCTCTGCCCAGTCAGCTGTGACGGGCAGAAATCCGAGCCAGAACATTCCTTGCCTAGGTCTCACCTGGGTGCGGCTTCTGAAAACCCTGCCCAAGTGCAGGCATCAGGGGGTGTCAGGGGGCCCGGGCCAGCCCCCCCGCTGCTCCCCGCACGCTCCTACTTCGTGGCCTGCATCTCTCCTGGGTCCCCCAGACAATGAGCTTTTCATCCCAGGGTGATTTTTAAGCCAAGTTTAAAAAAAAAAAAAACCTCCAGGAGTGAGTTGGATGGAACACAAAACGTTTCTGTGGGCTTTGTTTTGTTTTCCAAGAGAAATGGGATCATGAACAGGATTGAAAAACACCAAGAAGGGGCTGGAGCGATAGCTCACGGGTAGGGCGTTTGCCTTGCATGCGGCCAACCCGGGTTCCATTCCCAGCATCCCACATGGTCCTGAGCACCGCCAGGAATAACTCCTGAGTGCAGAGCCAGGAGTAACCTCTGTGCATTGCCGGGTGTGACGCAAAAAGCAATATATATATATATATATATATATATATTTTTTTTTTTTTTTAATTAAAAAAAATTTTTAAAATAAAGAAAAACACGGAGGGGCTGGAGCGATAACTCAGCGGGTAGGGTGTTTGCCTTGCACACGGCCGACCCGGGTTCGATTCCCAGCATCCCCTGAGCACTGCCAGGAGTAATTTCTGAGTGCAGAGCCAGGAGTAAGCCCTGAGCATCGCCGGATGTGACCCAAAAAGCAAAAAAAAAAAAAAGAAAAGAAAAGAAAAACGTGAAGGAAAAGCACCGGTCCAGAGGCCTGTGGTGCCTGACCCCTGGGCCAGGGTGGTGCCTGGGAACTAGAAGTCGTTGTGAGTGACAGTGACAATGAAGGGGAGGAGGGGATCCCTCAGCCCCTCCGGCGTCAGTGCAGGCCCCCCATGACAGAGGCCATCAAGACCCCGCTGACCTCTCCTGCCCCTTCCCTCATGCGGAGCAGTCTGAGCTGGTGCCCGGGGGCCCCGCGACCCATGGGAAAGTGTCCCCCTCCCCAGACCCTCAGGGAGCCGGGACCCGCGCTGCCAACACTCCCGAAACTCCAGCCGGGCCACGCAACCCGGGTGGGCGTCGGCCCTTTGGCCTCATGTGTGACCTGGTGGGTTCTAGGCCAGCTTCTGTCCTGTGTGTTCATGATCGGTCACTGCTGCGACTTTCGGTGTCGCCTGTGCACAGGGGTCTCAGGCACCTCGGCAGACCCAGGCCGATGCTGCATTGAACATTCCTTGATATGTGCTCCCCGACGAGCCTCATGGAGTCTGGCCTCCGGACAGCCGATGACCATGGTGACCACTTGAGGACGAAGCCACGCGCTCGCTGTCAGCCGCCTCCCTTTGGGACAGAGACCCGCACACGCCAGCGGGTGGGAGGCGCCGCCGAGTGGGAAGCTACTTTCCCGGCAGGGGTGCAGGAAGAAGCCGCTGGGGCCAGGGAGGGGCAGGAGGCTGCTCCCAGCTGGCGCCCACACCCTCATTTGACCCGGGCCCTACATCCGGAGGGCCCTGTGGGAGACCAGACCGCTGCAAGAACAGCCACACACACCCCTCAGCACAAATGATTTGGGCTGGTCACTGTGACTTCAAAGTTGTATGTTTCTAGGCCCAGGGCGACAGGTCACCAGGCAGAGCATCTGCCTTGCACATGGTGGCACAGGGTTCGATCCCCGGCATCTCATCTGGTTCTTGGAGCACGGCCAGGAGTCACTCCTGAGTGCAAAGCCCAGAAGGGAGGCCTGAGCATCGCAAACAAACACAGTGCTATGTCTTGGCAGGACACACAGCGGTGGGCACTTGCCTTGCACACGGCTGACCCAGGTCCCTCAGGCATCACACAGGGGTGAGCCCCGAGTGCAGAGCCAGGAGTGACCCCAAATCCAAGTGTGTCCCTCACAGATGTGTCCGCCCACCCCCTCACCCGCCCTCGCTGGCTTCGAGCCACCACTGCTGCGGTGGCCTGTCAGGTCAGTGGCCTGTCACTGCGCCCTGGATGCCCCATCGTCCCCAGCCATGTGGGCACCACCCTCGCCCCCAGGTCCCAACTGCCAGCCTGGAGCCCCCCGACCCCGCAGCCCCTCCCTGCTGGCCCGTCCACGTGGCGTCCCTGCGCTCATGCCTGCAGAGCTGATGCCCAGAGGCCCCCAGGAGCCCGTCTTCTGCCCGGGACGTGGGAGACGGAGCTGCTGGCAGTTCTCCCTCCCCAGAGCGGGAGCTCAACGGGGGCCCGCCCTATGTCCACGGCTGAGCCAGCCTCGACTCAGGACGCCCCCCCCCACCCCAAGCTTCCTGCCCACCCGCCGTGAGCACTACTCAGGGCACCTTCACTGCTCCCTCCCCACGTCCAGCAGTGCCCAGCTGGTGAAGCCAGCCTCCCGGAGTCAGTGCACGCTCGCAGCACCCAGCCAGAACCAGCTGCTCGGGCAGTGACGCCATCGCTCACAGCTACCCACGAGCTGAGCCAGGAGCTCCCAGCCCACAGGATGCTACCATGTGGCCTTGACACACTCGGTTGTACCCTCAGGGAGGGGACGTTGACAGCCAGGCACGGCAGACTGGACACTGACCAGCTGCAATAGCAGGACAGGAAGTGGAGTCAGGTCCCAATGCCGTGACCCACGCGGAGCTGCACTGCCCTCAGGCCCTACAGCCCAGGTAGACGGGCTAGGGAGCTGCCGGCTGGGGGCACAGGGCCCAGGGTTCAGTACGTGCCTTGGTGGGGGGTGTCCTCATGGTGACAACATGGCTGCCAGCACTGACAGCGCCAGCAGGGGCGCAGGACCTCCCGGATGACATGAACCAGCCCCTGGTGGGCAGCGCACGTAGCCAAGCTACCTCTGACAGCCCACCCATCGTGGGCTGCGCCTCACCCATGACCTGAGGGAGCAGCCGGGAGGGGACGGGGCCATGAGGAGGGGCACGGCCTGGGCTGGGCTGACCTGGAGCCCCTGACGGCGAGGAAGAAGGAACCTCCCGGCCCGGCATCTGTCCCTGCCCTGACCATGTGTCTGAGACCCTTGGCCGGGGAACAGTGTAACACGCACCTCTAAGAGCTAGACTTGGAGCGTTCCCCTCGGTGAGGGGCAGGACATGGAGGGGTCATACCGGGCAGTGCCCAGGGCTGACTCCTGGCTCCGTGCTCAGGGAGCCCCTTGTAGTGCCCGGGTGGGCTGTGTGCAAGGCCAGCCCCGGCCCCTCCTGGCCAACAGCTCCATCCAGGGACAAAGCAGTGACCAACACCGACAGCGCAACCGCGGCTGGACCCAGAAGCCACACGGAGACGCAGAGGTGAGGACTGGGCTGACGGCCGTTTATTCTACCTCTGACACAGGAGGCCCGAGCGCCCCGATCGATGACTCTGCGGGGCTTGAAATGGGGGGACCTGGGTGGCGCCGCTGCCGGGGCCGCTAGTCCCGCAGCACCAGCGGCGCCTTCACCTGCGCGGCCGTCGCCGGGCCACTGAGCGCCTCCACGATGGCCAGCGCGAACTCGAAGCTGGTGCCTGGCCCGCGGCTCGTGAGGATCTGCCCATCCCGCTCCACACGACTCTCCGAGTAGCTGTAGTGATCTGCGGGGGGGGGGGAGTGCGGAGTCACATGGGGTCATGCGGCCACTCCTTCTCCACAGCCCCCTCGCCCCTCAAGGCCACGGGAAGCCACACCAGGAGCGACTGACGACCCCAAGCACGGCACCCGGGGCCTGTCGCGCCCAGCAGGAGTGGGCAGAGGCCGCAGGGGTCAGCACACGGCACGGCCGCGCTGCACTGGGTGGGCTCCCGGTACCACACACAGGCAGGGGCTGTGGCTGACCCTCGTCCTGGAGAGGAGACCCCAGGCGCAGCCGGGCACCCCCCGCCCACCCTATCCACACACTGCCTGGGAGGCCACGGTCCTTCCCGGGGGACAGTCTGCACCCGGGATGAGCTGACCAGGACAAGAAAGGCCTTTCTGCTTCCCTCCCAAGCCCAGCCAGGGAAGGGGTGGGCAACACTGCCTAGGCAGAAAGACAGGAGGAGGAGGGGAGAGGGCAGGAGGGAGGGGAGGAGGGGGAGGGAAAGGGAGGGGATGGGGAGGGGCAGGGGAAGGAGAAAAGGGGAGCTGAGGGAAAGAAAAGGAGGGAGGAAGGGAGGGAAGGACGGAGCGAGGGAGGGAAATCCTTTCTGCCCAGGGCTTGGTTTGTCTGGGGTTGGGATCACCAAGCGGGGCTTGGGGCGCACGTGGGTGCAGAAAACAGAGAAGGCAGGTGCTTATCCCCTGCACGGCCCGACGGCCCCGCCTTGGCCTGTTAAATGTGACTTGACGTTGGCGCCCGGAACAGAGGTGACAGCCCCCCAATCACACAGCCTCTGGGTCACCAACGAGACACACAGGGCTCTCTTCCCAAACTAGCTGACACGGTTCACAAAACAAACTTAATATCAAACTAGAAGAGCCGTGAATCAGCATTTTCCGGCTTCGGGCAGCGAAGGCCTCATGCAGGGTCCCGGCAGGGAGCGGGTCCATGCAGGGGAACTCTAGGGGCCCCGGGAAGCCGTCAGACGCCGTTGGCGGGCGCTACAGCGGGGGTGCGGAGCCCATCACCCACCCGCCCGCCCGCCCGCCCACCCACCTCTCTGCGCTGTGCATACTTCCCCAACCCCCCCCCCCCCCCACACACACAGCATCCACAACACTCCTGACAAGGACGCATCAGCGCCTGGTGCTCTGCAGAGGCTGGAGGCCCCCAGGGCGGTGCCTGTCCCCCACCTTCCCTTCAGTCCATCGGCACAGGCCCAAGGACACAGTGACCAGGCCACAGGGCAGCCTAGAGAGAAGCCTGACCGTGGGGCCAGCCCATCGCCAGCCACTGCCCCGGCTGTTCTGTGTGGCGAGCACAGTGGACACTTACTTCCGGCCATCATCCTGTCCTTGGCCAGTGGGTGGGTGGTGACTTTGCTCCCAAAACCGATTTCATGAGCCAACAGGGCCGTAGGACCTGAAAGCAAGAATAAAAAAAGGGTCTAGTCTAGGGGGAGATGTGTCAGAGGCCAGTGGGAAGGGCACAGATCAGGCACCAGGCTGCTGTCCGGACCCCCCACCCCCGCCCCTGTGCCACCACCAGTGACCTGGGCAACGAAAATGGCACGCAGCAGGCCGGGCGGTGGCCCCCGTGAGTGTCCGTCAGCCCACAACACTGTGGACAGGCCGGGTGAAGGGACGGCAGAGGAGATGGCGAGTCACACTGCAGGCAGCCGACAGGAAGTGGCCTTCGGATGCAGGACAGAGGGCTGGGACCCAAACCCTTCCTGCGTGGGCGAGGACACGCCCGCAGGCGCCACCCGCAATGCCACGGCCGCCGTGCGAGCCATGCTCAACTCAGCCAACGACGGGCACAATCTCCAGGTGCCCGATGCCCAGGGCAGCCGGGCTGGGGCTGGAGGGCGGGCAGGGCCCCCGGGCACATCCTACGGGGGGGGGGGGGGGGGGCGGGACTCCCACAGTCCGGCCTGTCTCCCTCAGGGGCAAATGAAAGAGGCCCAGCCCTTGGTCCGACTGATGCTTTGGTTTGGGGGTGCAGCCAGTGCCCCCCGCCTGGCAGACCTCTACAGCCTGGCCCCTCCTGCCGAGAAGACCCCGGGACGGCACCCAGCCCCAAGGCTCAGGTTCTGCAGTCCCCCGGTCCCTCCTGCTCGCACAGGGCCTGATGGGTGCAGACACTCCCTTAAACCCAAAGCTCCCAGTACAGGGGCGCCTCTGCCCTGCTCCTCCCAAGTGTGAGGGTCCGAATCGAGGGCAACAGGCCCTTCCCTCCCTGCCCCTGACATCGCCGCCTCATTCCCAGCACTTTGGAAGCCCCTCCACCGCTCTCCCAGACGGAACTGACCCCAGGCCCCACAGGCGCAGGCCCAGTCCTGCAGCAGGAGTAGAGGGTGGAGGGAGCTGCGGGGAAGGCCAACAGCGCCACCGTGTGGCGACGCACGGCACTGACGAAGTCTCCTCACCACCCACCTCCACTTTCTGGGGGGACCTCAATGACTGCCCCACCTCGACCCCCCCAGTGAAGTTTCTGCACCTCACCTCACACACGTGACAGCTGGGGGCTCTGGGCGCGCCTCCAGGCCTCATGCCTGGAGAACCTGCACCCCAGCCCAGGATCTCTCTGCTGTGCACTCAAGCCGCAGGGGGACAGGCCAGCCCCCAGCCCCCTCCCCCCCACTTGCCAGAAGCACCTGAGAATGGGACTGGGCTTATCACACGCTGGCAGGTTCTAGCACCTAGGGTGTCTCCCTCTGGGTCGGAGGAGCTACCCTCCACGCTGTCCTACCCCGACCTGTGTCCTGTGTCCTCTGGCAGAGACCCCAGAGATAAGAGACAGGAACTGAGGCCGGGTTGGGGCAGGGGGTGCGCATAAGCCCCCCAACAAGTGTTTGTGTGGAACCGCTCTTCACAGTGGCCCCGTCAGGAATGAAGCCTGGAGCTGCTTACTCGGACACCCCCCACCACCCAAACAGGGCTCAGGGCACCTATGCCCCCCTGAACGGCTGTCGGGATGCATCTGCTCCAGGACCCACGGCAGGGCCCCTCCCCTGCCACCTTGCCCTCAGCCCACAGAACCGCACAACACATCCCCAAGGCACTCAGGCAAACCTTCCACGGGCTGACCATCCCCTTGGCCAAACTCACTGAAGTGGCCGGCCAAAGAGAAGCTCCAAGAAGTATGGCAGGGAGGGCGCGAGCCTGGAACATGGCTGCAGCGGGTTCAAGTCCCAGAAACCCATCGAGTGCCCTGAGTCCCACCCATCGAGCAATCCCTGAGCGCAGAGCCGGCAGTAAGCCCTGAGCACCAAGAGTGATGCCAAAACCCAAAACCCGGCAGACAAACCCCACAAAAAACAAAACCACGTTGGGGCTGGAGCAATAGCACAGCGGGTAGGGCATTTGCTTTGCATGTGGCCAACCTGGGTTCGATTCCCAGCATTCCATAGGGTCCCCTGAGCACCGCCTGGGGTAATTCCTGAGTGCAGAGCCTGGAGTAACCCCTGTGCATCGCCGGGTGTGACCCAAAAAAAGCAAAAACAAAACAAAAACTGAAACAGAACCACGCTGAGAAATGTAGCTGGCAGACTATCTCCCGGAGTCGGAGCAGCAGGAACAAACCTTAAAACGGTCTCAGGACTTGACACGCTCCTGAGCTTTAAAGACAGAGGCTGGGGCCGGGGCAATAGTCCAACGGGCAGGACGTTTGCCTTGCACACGGCTGACCAGGGTTCGGTCCCCAGCATCCCATAGGGTCTCCCGAGCACCACCAGGAGTAATTCCTGAGTGCAGAGGCAGGAGGAACCCCTGAGCACCTCCAGCTGTGACCCAAAAAGAAAAAACAAAACAAGAAAGTAATTACAATTATAAAATAAAGACATGAAGGCGTCTACGGGCACTGCCCCTTCTGAACCATGTGGCACAGGGCCGGGGAGAGCCAAGAGGCCGCACGGGGCACAGGCTTTTGCATACTGGAGTACTGGGTTCAATCCCTGGCACCCCTGAGCACTAAAACGCACGGACGCGACCCCTGAGCACTTCGGAGTATGGCCCCAACTTATGATGTGGCAAACCCCAGAGCACCGAGGACACAGCCTTCAGCGCTGGGTCAGTGTCTGGGAGGAGGCCAGCCCGTGCCTGACGGGGGCAGACAGGCCCTTCCGGCACACACCGCGGGACAACGGCGCTGACCAGATTCCAGGCGCCGGGCAGCCAAACACGGGGAATGCTGAGTCCCAGGGACCCTTCGACCCTGCCCGCAGGACAGCCCACAGCTCTCACTCCTGAGCCACCCCAAACCAACCAGGTCGTGCTCGTATTGCTGGAGATAGAAGCTTCTGGAAGAAGACCATGTGGCAGCAGGGTTCTTCCAACAGCAGCACGTACCTGCACAGATGGCGGCGATGAGGCCCTTCCTCTGCTCCTGGTCCTTCAGGATCTCCTTCACGGCGGCCGACTAGGGGAGAAAGCCCAGCCGTGAGCCTCTGGCGGGCACCCACCCCACCTCCCCGGATCCCCGGAGCGTTCCTCCAGCTCCCATGATAAAACAGTGACATTCGTGGTTCCCATGTGGCCCTCCTGGAGACCACACAGGGCAGGAACACGGGGCTCGGGTGTTCCGGAAAGAACCCCAACAGTACGCGCTGGCCCCCCCCAGTCTCACCTCCCGCCCCCCAACTCCTCCTTTCAGAACCGGAAGGGCCCCCCCCAGTCCTTCTCTTGCTCCCCCAGCCCTCCCCTGCCTGGCCCAAAATGCCAGCAAACAGCGCGTCTCCACGTCCCAGGGGAGCACAGGATCCGGCCGACGAGTCCCCACGCTGGCTCCTGACGCCACCACCGAGCTCGAACTTCAACAGTCCAACCACGCAAGCGCGCCCCGCGCCATCCCCACAGCAGGGAGCATTTACCTCACACAGATTCTGCGCGCCCACATTTCCTCCTGGCAGAACCACCACGTCATACGGCCCCTGGAGTTTATTTTTCAAAAAAAGAAAGAAAAACAAGCAAGGTGAAGTGTCAAGTGATCGCCCCGTAATACATCTGTATTTTTAATGTGAGACACAAAAACTGCTGAGGTTGAGGGCATCTATCCAGAGGGGGTGGCAGACCAGAAGGCAGTCACGAGGCCACACAGCATAGAAGTCGAGGAACCGCACCACACAACCATGCAGCGGAGAAGCTTAGGAACCGCACCATGGGGCTAAGGAACCACACCATGGGGCCACACAGGGCAGAAGCCAAGGAACTATGTCATGAGGTCAAGGAACTGCACCACGGAGCTGAGGAACTGCACGATGGGACTGAGGAACCACATCATGGGGCCCAGGAACTGCACCGGGGGCTGAGGAACCGCACCACGAGGCTGAGGAATCACACCACAGGACCACACAGCACCCAATCTGAGGAACTACGCTGGGCAGGTCTCAGCCCTGTGCACCGGGCCATGCGTTCAGCCTTTTCTTCTTTCTTTCTGACATGGGGCAGCTGGAGCCACACCTAGCAGTGCTCACTCCTGGAGGGGCTTAGGGAACACTGCAAAGTTCCAGAATCAAACCAGGGCTGCCCGTGATGCTGGCACCTTCCTCAATGGGCTGTCTCTCTAGTCCCATAGCAGGATCTCACTCGTGTAAAAAGAAAAACAGGTGTGTGTGTGTGTGTACGCACGCACATGTGCATGTGTGTGTATGCACATGCGCTCACACACATCCACGTGCACAATATTACACACACAGATGTAGACACATCCCAGTGGTACCCAGGCCTAGTGGGGGCCGGGGGGTGACGGGGAAGGGAAGGAGGAGAATGGGAAAGAGAAAATCTGCATTCCCACTTTATATGTAGTACCAGCTCTCCTTTGGGAGGGGTGGGAAAGGAGGAGGAGGCAATGACACAGTCGGTGATGCCCAGGGATGACTCCTGGCTCTGAACTCAGGAATTACTCCTGGCAGTACTCAGGGAACCATATGGGGAACTGGGGATTGAACCTGGGTTGGCCGCGTGCAAGGCAAGTGCCATGCCTGCTGTGCTGTTCCTCCAGTCCTGTATAAATTATTTTTCAACAAGAGGGGCTGGAGAGATAGCACAGCGGGGAGGGCGTTTGCCTTGCACGCAGCCAACATGGCCGACACAGGTTCGATTCCCAGCACCTCATATGGTCCCCCGAGCACCGCCAGGAGTAATTCCTGAGTGCATGAGCCAGGAGTAACCCCTGAGCATCGCCGGGTGTGACCCAAAAAGAAAAAAAAAAAACACAACAAGAAAGCACACAGCAATATAAAATCAAGAGAAAAAAATTTCTACGTGGAAAGCACAATTTTTAAAGTTTTATGAGAAACGAACGTGGGGAGAAAACGCAAATGTCCCACATCAGTAACCCAAACACCAGAACATTCTGGAAATCTGTCACTTTCAAACTTACTGAAGTTATAAAACGGAAATTGGTTACCAACACAAAGGAAAGATTCTATTTTTAGTCATTAGAAGCAATAAAGTGAAAATTTGTAGGATTACTTTTAAAGACCATGAAGTGTCCTACAGTGGTTTTCAAGCCAAGCACAAAAATGAAAACATGAGAAGCAGAGAATTTCCTCGACTCTCAGTCGATGACACAGACACAAAAGGTCAGTCCTCTTCTAAAACACCTGGCAGCAAAGGTCGGTGAAGACCAGAACACGAGGGGCTGAGCGACAGTACAGCCGGGAGGGCGTTTGCCTTGCAAGAGGCAGACCTGGGTTTGAATACCGGCAGCCCATAGGGTCCCCCTGAGCAGCCCAGGAGTGATTCCTGAGTGCAGAGCCAGAAGTCACCCCCAAACTCAACAAAAGAGCAGAGCAGGAAACTACACTGTCTCTTCCTCCTCTCCACTGAGAGCATCTCAACGTGTTCTGAATTCCCCAGCTTGGACCCGACTTTCTGGGAACAGAGTGAGCTTCTTCCACAGACCCCGTGAACGGCTCATTCCAGCAGAGGCCATTCCCCCTCGCAGGATACATGGGGACCCCCAGACTCCTAGCAGCCAGTCTGAGAGCCCCAATCCCACAGCCGGGATGCGGAAGCATCTGCATCCCCAGAATGATGCTTCTGAAGGCGGGCGGGCCGCGCTCCTGACAGTCCCCACAGTGCGAGTCACCCTCTCTGGACACCGGAAAAGGGACCCAACGGAAGTGGACACTACCTCTCCCTTCACCAAGCACAAATGAAGTCTGAACTGGCCCCTGGGGCAGCAAGTCTGTGTGGGTCATGGCGGAAGGGAGGGGATGGGCAGGTGGGCACAGACCCTGAACTCAGACAGCAAGCAGCAAAGCGGGGCATGACCCCCACAGCGCACAGGTGTACCCAGAGACCCCATGGGAAAAAGCAGTTACTCTGCACTGCCTGGCCTATTCAGCGGGGACGAGATCCAAAGTCACTTCCTGCACCAAGGACATGCCTGACGTGCAGTCAACAGACGCTGCTGGGCCCAGGAGAGTGGAGATGCAGGTGCTTGCCTAGCAGGAGTCCCGGGTTCGAAACCCGGCACCGCACAGGGTCTCCCAAGCCCCGCCAGGAGTCAACCCTGAGCACTGAGCCAGAAGAAAGCCCGGAGCACTATCAGATGTGGCTCCAAAACAAACATTTCAAAAAACTGGCACGAAGGCCAGTAGGGCCCAGCCAAGAACCAACCTCTTTCTGCGCCTCCTCCAGGCTGGCATCAGGGCAGATGACCACATCCCGGCTGCACTGCACGGGGTCTTTCCCAGCCAGACCTGCAACCGTGACCTTAATCTAGAAGAAAGACATCACGGGGAAACCGAGACGTAAATCCAGAGGAACGTTTTCACAGCGGTCTTACAGTTTAAAATAACTTGCAGAAAACACCACCAAACGGCGCCACCAGGTCTGTCCTGGTCTGGATGTCATTGTCCCCGAGTGCTCCAGTCCAGGTGATATAAGTCACGAGCATTCTATTATGGTCTCTCCTGGGACCCAGAGGGACCACTCAAACCTACTCCCTACGTGTTACTGGAGCGTGTACTGTTGTTACCTACCAGAATAAAGACCCACGGTGCAGACACGAGGTATCCATGGATGCTGGAGAGAGGTGTGTGAGAGGGAATCTACTACATTAAGGTGGGCGCCCTGGAAAGAGACAAGCCCTGGGCAGACTGACAAGCAGTTTTCTTTCTTTCTTTTTTTTTGTCCTTTTTGGGTCATATCCAGCGATGCACAGGGGTTACTCATGGCTTATGCACTCAGGAATTACTCCTGGCAGTGCTCGGGGGATCATATGGAATGCTGGGAATCGAACCAGGATTGGCCGCATGCAAGGCAAACGCCCTCCCAGCTGTGCTATTGCTCCAGTCCCCACAGCTTTTATTTACTGAAAATATCAGCTTAAAAACGGGCTTAAAAGAAATATGGCAAAATACCATCAAATCTTTTATGGGGAACAGTGTTCTCTGGTGTCTTGTGTGTAGGCTTCAAATGGTCAGTCACATAATGTGCCTTCTCTCACCCCCAAAGGCTTGGACAAGACTCGAAACCATTTTTGGAAGGGGCGAGGACTTACTCCAGCACGCCTCATCACGTCCACCGGGATGACGGTTTCCATCTCCTCTGCGCCTTTGGCCAGGATAACCAGCGCTCTCTTAGAAGCCATTTTTACTTAAAGATTCTTTTTAAAAGACATGGGGAATGACAGTAAGAAAAAAAAAAAGAGACCTTCAAAATATTTTCCCAGCAACCCCCACAAGCCGGCTTTGCAATTTAGCAAGCATGTCTGCAAAGTAACTAAAGCAGCCGAGGGAAAAAGTTTGCCAGACACAATGGAACAGGGGAAAACCATACTTTAAAAGGGCCAGAGATAGTACAGCAGGGAGGGCGTTTGCCTTGCATACTGCCCACCCGGGTTCATCACCGGCACCTCATCTGGTCCTCTGAGCGCTGCCAGGAATGATTCCTGAGTGCAGAGCCAGGGGGAAGCCCGAGTCTCGCAGGGTGTGACCCAAAAACAAACAAAAAGGCTAGAATCACTTTGTACGTGGAGTTTCCCTGAACAGATTTTGCAGATGAAACATAGTAACGGGTTGCCGGCAGGCCTGCGTGCTATTTAGGATTTCCCCCCGTGTTTTTCTCCAATTCTGTGCCTGTAGAAAAAGGTTTCAAAATGTACACCGACGTCGTACGTAGAAAACCGACTCAGTTACGAGCAAAATCGTCAAATCCAGTCTTTAGCAACCAGACTGTGAGACTTTTGGAGGGAATTTCTTAGTTCCAATAATTGCACTAAAAAAGTCGGGGGAGGGGGATTAACTGTCCATTATTGCATTTTTAAAAATTTTTTTGGAGAGCGGGAATCCCCCTCGCTAAAGCCACCCGACCTCGCTGCGGCTGCAGCGCTGACTTCTTATCACGGGGTCGACTGGCGCCCCCCGGGGGCCAAGCCCTCGGCGTCAGTGCAAACCATATCTGCAAAGCCCCCGCGCCCGCAGACACCGACTAGCTACAAACAGGCGGGACCCGCGCACGCGCGCGGCGGGCTCTGCAGCGGCCAAGGGTTGGGGGGTCCGGGCCGCCGCCCGCTCGCCGCCGCCGCGCGCCCCAGGCCCCGACCTGAACCTCGGCTCTCTTGCCACTGACGCGCGCCTCGGTCCGTTCGGCGACACCTGCCAGCCCGGGACCGCTGAACCCCAAGCTGGACCGAGACGCACATGCGCAGCGGGCCTGGCCGCTTATTCCAGTACTGCGCAGGCGCGCGCCGCCGACCCGCGCTCCTCGACCCCGCACTGCGCAGGCGCCGGCCTCTGCCCGGCACTTCAACTTTGCACTGCGCAGACGCAACCCTCCGAGTGGCTCCGCCCCCTCACACTGCGCAGACTCGCGCCGCTGAAAGTGGCTCCGCCCCTTGCACGGCGGAGACGCTCCGCCCCCGCGTCCGTTCTGCGCAGACGCAGTTTGGGACGTTCCTTGGCCATTCTGCATCCGCAGTGGTCGCCGAGGTTGTGTGTCCCGGGATTGCGAGAATCTCGTGGGCTCTCGCGTTCTCAGCGGCTTCCGGTCCCTTGCCCTTGTACTCCCGGTGCTCAGACCCCGTTCCCGCGCGCGGCCGTGCGGAGCGTCTCCCCGTTTCCTGTCCACTCCTGTCCACTCCCGTGGGCCACGGTTGTCCCTTTTCGCCGCCTGCTGCGTTTCCCCTTTATCCTGTGGCACTTTCTCCTGTCCCTTCGGGTCTCTCCGGACAATCGTAGGAGCTTCCTGCCCTACCCACGCGTGGTCAACCCCGCCTCCTGGCTCATCTCTGCGGTCTCACGACGTCAAAGTTTTCTAAACAGTTATTATTTTTGTTTTTTGGGGTCACATCCGGCGATGCACAGGTGTTACTCCTGGTTCATGCATTCAGGAGTCACTCCTGGCGGTGCTCGGGGGACCATATGGGATGCTGGGAATCGAACCCGGGTCGGCCACGTGCAAGGCAAACGCCCTACCCGCTGTGCTATTGCTCCAGCCTCATTCTAAACAGTTTTAAAGTGTTGTTCCTTTTACCAGCTTCAAAATCGTTCAGTAGGTGTCTTTTAAGCACGGCAGAAGGGCCCGAAGTGATAACACGCTGGGTGGGTCACTTGCCTTGCACGCGCCCGTCCAGGTTCTGTGCCCTGCACCGTTTGTGGATCCCCCCCAAGCCCTCCAGGAGGGGCTCCTGGACAGCGCCGGGACGGGTGGCCCAGAAACAACGAGAAGCAGCAGGAGTGAGGCTGGGGGGCCTTAGCTGTGCAGGGCAGGGGCTCATTGGCCGGTCCGGATGGCAGAGGCAGAGCCCGGGAAGCCGCCCGTGGGGGCCACCAACTTCGGAACCACCGAATACACGCAAGGAGGTTTACTGACGTGGGCACGAAGTTGTCTGCATGCTGGGCTGGAACACAAATCGGAGGAGAGGGACTGAGTGCCATCACAGAACAACCCAGCGATTGTTCGGAAAAAAATGAAACAGAATGCCCGGCCTGTGCAACTGAACAACAGCAAAAAAAAAAAAAAAGTGCCACGTGTATAGGAAATGGAGGAAAAGTCACTGGGCTGTAGGATCAGGGAGGGCAGGTTGAGGCGGGCCTTATCAGTGTAAACGTTCTTCAGCTTCTGCTTGGACCCCAGCAGAGCCTGCTGAACGCAGTGGGGCAGCTTCTCCCGCTTGCACCCTCCAGACTAGGAGCCCCAGGCCACTCTGTTTTAGCGCTTTCTCAGACCAAGAGTTCTAAATCTCTGAGAAAGAGAATTGTGCTAAGTTGTAGCCCTTATTGACACATTGAACATGGATTTCCAGGTCTCCAAGAAGTTCTGCCCCACCCCCTGCCGCATTTCCCCCTCCCCGATCCTTCAGTCTGCCTTTTTTTTTTTTCTGCAAGCTAATACAAAAAGTGCTATTGTTTTCTTATAAAAGTGCAGCCCACAGTGTGTGCATTGTCCAGTCCCTCTCCAGGCCACCGCTCTACCGAACCAGGGACTTTTTCCTATATCATGAAGAACTTCCTTTTTCCCCAGTTAGCATGTCACTGTGTCCTGCTGATAACAATTAGGTTATTTCCCATGTGCTCTGGGTGGCCAGTACTGCTCCAATAACCTTACTGTGTGTCTTGTATAAACATAAGTGGAGAGTAAGTAAATTTCCAGAATGGGAAATGGAGATTTCTGTGTCAACCAAGCAGAATCACTTACTACATCGGTAAAAGGCGGTCAGCTAGTATTTTCAATATATCCAGGCCTTTTAAAAGTCTGTTCAGGGGCTGGAGCAATAGCACAGCAGGGAGGGCGTTTGCCTTGCACGCAGCCAACCCAGGTTCGAATCCCAGCATCCCATATAGTTCCCTGAGCATCGCCAGGAGTAATTCCTGAGTGCAGAGCCAGGAGAACCCCCTGAGCATAGCCGGGTGTGACCCAAAAAGCAAAAAATAAAAATCAAAGTCTGTTCAGGGGGCTGTAGTGATGGAGAACAGGAAGGTGCTTGCCTTGCACGGGGCTCACTGGGCTCAACCCCCAGCATCTCATATGGTCCCCCACACCCCTGAGCACCACCATGTATGGCCCAAAAACAAAATTCAAAAGGGCTTTGTTCAAGTACTGGACACACGTTTATTAACGTGTGTAAATTATTTCTTAATGTTATTTTCCTATTTTCTTTAAATATTTTTTATAAAGAAGTTCACAATATTTGATTACATTTAATATTTGAACACCAATCCCACCACCATTACACCTTCCCACCACCATATTCCTATTGTAATCAAAGTGCTTTACAACATTGCACTGGTGAAAAAAAAAGTTTTTTTAAGTGCCTTTAATCATTCTACTTTTTTTTTTTTTTTTTTTTTTTTTTTGCTTTTTTGGGTCACACCCGGCAACGCACAGGGATTATTCCTGGCTCTGCATTCAGGAATTACTCCTGGCGGTGCTCAGGGGACCATATGGAATGCCGGGAATCAAACTCAGTTCGGCCGCGTGCAAGGCAAACGCCCTACCCGCTGTGCTATTGCTCCAGCCCCTCATTCTACATTTTAAGAAGAAAACATTTTGGGAGCCATGGAATTACTTCCGCTTTGGCTGTCTGCAAAGGAAGAAGTAGGCAAAAGGCTTTGCATCCTGGAGGAGTGCGGGAAATGGGAGAAGGTGGGCTGAGGAGGTACCTGGTCAGCCCGTGCTTCAAGTCCCGGAGGAGGATTTAGGTTTGAGTAGGAAGCCAAAAGAAGACCCGCTGTAAGATCACTCTGTGTAAGGACACACCCGTTCTGTAAGGAAGAAAACAGATCAAGGCTTTTATCTTCAAATGAATACAGTTACTCAATTTTACAATGAAATACTTAACAATGGATCGCATTGTTTTTCTGGAATACTCTTTCCCCTGGTACTGGCAGGAGAACCCATGCTCCCTGCCCCCAACCTTGACTGTCCCAGTTTGAGCTTGTGGAATGTCAACAGACAACATCTGATGGAACATTTGAGAAACTCTGGCTGACGCGGGCATGGGGAAGGTGCAGCTACAACCCCTCCATCTCTGACCCCCTCAACTTTAGACCCCCTCAACTTGAGCACATGCAAGATAGATGCCCTCATCAGCCTGGACTCGTGCCTGAGCAGGTCACCCAGGCCAGGTGGCCAACATTGGCACTCAAACTTCTCACATTGCAAAATCACACTGACCCAGCGTAAAATGACATCTTAAAGACGGGTCTTCTCTGTTCTTTTACCCCCGGACCCTATTCTCCAGAGGCGGCGAGTTTCAGTTATTTAAAGAATTTCTTCTGCGTGTGTGTGTATATGTATGTGTGCATGCGTGTGCGTGTGCATGCTGGGGAGAGGTGCTCACACGTGCTAGGCAAGAGCTCCCTGCCAAGCCGCATCCCTAACTCAGGAGTTTTAAATATTACGCGTTTACTGTTATTATTTCTCACTTCTTGGTTTTAGATACTATGAGTGACTTCCTGACACGTTTTAGCATCATTTTCACTTCACAGATGTGGACATTTTTGTTTGGAAGATTTGGTGGGCGGGGGAGGGAGGGGAATGACTACATAAGGTGCCACATAATGACTACAGGACACTGGGTGGAATTCAGGTATTCTGATGCCAACTTTCACACTCCAGCTCCAGCCCCTTCACCAGGGTTACTTTGCAGGTCAGCAAAACTCATTACATGCCCTCAACATTCAGATTCAGATCTAGAAGGCATCCTGCATTTACAAGACAGCGCTGAAGCATGAAAACTACCAAAACCATTCCTCCTGTGCTGGCTAGGAAAATGCCCCAGCTTCAGTCACTCCCAGGCAGCAGCCGCATCCTCTCCCCTCCTTTACTCAAGAGTCTAGCAAGTCTGTAGGACTTGTAGAACGACATTGTAGGATGGTAAACGCAAAGACTCTCCAGGGCCCCAGAAGCAATGCATCCTCCAGCCTGAGCTCTGAGCCACTGCGCCCCCCCCACCCCGTTGCTGAGTATCGCCCCGGGGGGACCCCCAGTCTCCCGAGCAGCGCTTGTAAGTCTCCCCCCAATAAAAGCAAAAGTCGGGGCTGGAGCGATAGCACAGCGGGTAGGGCGTTTTCCTTGCACGTGGCCGACCCGGGTTTGATTCCCAGCATCCCCGAGCACCGCCAAGGGTAATTCCTGAGTGCATGAGCCAGGAGGGACCCCTGAGCATTGCTGGGTGTGACCCAGAAAGAAAGAAAAAAAGTCTACCTATTTCAGTGAGCTTAAAATAAGAGCTAGTGCAGGGAGCTCCTGAACACAGCGGGGGTGTAGCCCAGCCCTTACACCCCTCAAAGTTGGGTCCTTGCAAGAGTTGCCTTTGTTGCTGAAGAGACACGTCCTGCCCGCCTTGTGGGACTCAGAGGCCGAGAGAGATGGCACTGTTGATGTGAGCAAAGCAGTCCAGCACTCATGGCTGCAGGGGACCCTGTCGAGACATCGTCACCCCTGACTTAAAGGCATCTGGGAAGGAGGATGCAGAAAAGGTGCCCAGGGCCCATTTCCTTCCCCAGGAAGAGAAACGCTGCTGAGAGGCACCTATGGTATGCCAGGATTAAAGAACCAATCTTCCCCCACAGAGGAGCTGAACCCCCAAGCATTGACATCAAGATCTTGTCGCCCCTTTTTGAGTTCCTTTTCAGGGCCACCACTCTTTGTCCAACTTAGAATATAAGTATTTTTGTTTTGCCAGTTTTTTCCCCCAAGTTCTCTGGGCCACACCCAGCAATG